AAGGGAATTTCCTGATGGGTAGAGAAATCTTTGCCATGATTCTTGATCATTTCAGGACGACATCCAAGGATGAAGTTTTGTTCAATGCTAGTCACATATACAGGCTGCAGTACCGAGGGGACAAGGAGATGGACAAGTTCCTCAATGCTTGGCTTGAGATCATTGCAAACATGAAACCTGAGGACATCCCTTCGGAGATCACGCTGCGAGATCACCTGCTGAGGAAGATTGAAGGATCTCAAGCACTACATGTTGACCTCACGATCTTCAAGAGCAGAGACAAGGACGACAGGAAGAAGACCTACCAGGAGCTCTGGGAAATCATGAAGAGGCACATGGCAAAAGTGCGTGAGGACAAGAACATGGCAGCCAGAGACAAGTTCGCCACAGACTACACCAACCTTGGCAAGCCCACGACTCCTGCTCCAAAACCTGCTGCACCTGCGCCGAACCCAAAAGATGGCAAGGGTCGAAAGCCAAGTGCTCCTGCGCCGGAAGGTAAGCCTGTACTCACACACACACACACACACCTTGTCCACACACAACTTGTCCACACACAACTTGTCCACACACAAACTTACTACAACATACACTTGCGTGGCAGGCGTGGCACTTGGCGACATCGACTTCACTTTGCGTGGCAGGCGTGGCACTTGGCGACATCGACCATCACTTTGCGCGGCAGGCGTGGCACTCCGCGTGGCAGGCGTGGCACTTCTGGCATGGGGCTGGCTTGCATGCACTGGGCGACATCGACTGTCCTTTGGTGAACAGGAGTGGCCACTTGGCGACATGGAAGTGATTCTGCGTGCTTCTTTGCGTGGGCCGGTCGTGGCACTGGGCGACATTAGACCGTCACTTTGCTGCAGGCATGGCACATAGGCGACATCGACCGTCACTCTGCGTGGCAAGCGTGGCACTTCGCGACATAGATCGTCACTTTGTGTGGCAGGTGTGGCACTTGTGGCACTGGGCTGGCTCTGACGCGCTTGGGTCTCGTTTGGTGCCGTGGTCGCCGCCGCCGTTTGCGTGGCCGGCGTGGCACTGGGCGACATCGACCGTCTCTGCTTGGCAGGCGTCGCACTTCGCGACATAGATCGTCACTTTGCGTGGCAGGCGTGGCACTTATGGCACTGGGCTGGCTCCGGTGACGCGCTTGGGTCCCGTTTGGCGCCGTGGTCCGCCGCCGCCGTGCCGTGGCCGGCGTGGCACTGGGCGACATAGACCGTCACTTTGCGTGGCAGGCGTGGCACTTCGCGACATAGATCGTCACTTTGCGTGGCAGGCGTGGCACTGCGCGACATAGATCGTCACTTTGCGTGGCAGGCGTGGCACTTATGGCACTGGGCTGGCTCCGGTGACGCGCTGGGTCCCGTTTGGCGCCGTGGTCGCCGCCGCCGTTTGCGTGGCAGGCATGGCACATAGGCGACATCGACTTACTATTTGCGTGGCAGCGCGTGGCATGTGGGCGACCATACGACATCACTTTGCGCGGCAGGCGTGGCATTCGCGTGGCAGGAGTGGGCACTTCGACCATCACTTCGCTGCCAGGCTTGCGTGGCAAGTTGAGGCCAAGTTGATTTTGATACCGGATTCGAGGACGACCGAAAAAAAGAGATTGCGCGAAAGCATGGATGAGGTCTGAACGGAACGCTGTTTGGAAATGTTTTGATCTGTCTGCTGAGCTGCCAATGATTTGATTTTGCCGCACCGGGAACCTCGTGCTTCGGCCGTCACCATACGCCTGATGATCGAATGCGCAATTTAGTTGTTCATGCGGGTGTTGCGTTCTGATTGCTTGACATGGCCAGGTACCTTGCAACAGCTCGTCGACCAAGCCTCGGCATTTGCCAAGCACGGCAGCGACCGTCGCTCTCATGGACGGTCTGCGGCAGAGCTTGGCGACATTACACCATTACTGCCAAGGGAAACGGCCACTGCCATTCACCCAAACTCATGGTCGTGGCATTGCCGGTCTTCTGCTACAACATGATTACGTACATACATACATGCATGCATACATACATACATACATACGTACATACATACATACATACATGCATACATACCATCTTTTCACACACCATTCTGTCACATGACCAACTGTCCCACACACTGTCTTTACTTCTCGATCATTCACCCACCTCCTTCTGTCTTCCGTCCATTCCCCGTTCCCGCTACAAATTTGTTGCGGCATTCTTGGAAGAAGTTGACAGGTGGGGTTTATCCGGTCCTTGAATTCCGTTTTTGTAAAGTGGCTGCAGGCGGCGATGAAGGGTACCTCCTGTGTGCGGCGGTTGCGGTTTGGATCGTTTCAACGCGTAATCGGTTCTCCCTTGGTGTTCTGCAACGCGGGAATGCGAATCGCATTGTAATGGCTGCATGGATGTGTACGTGGTGCTGCAAAACGCATTGTAATGGCTGCATGAATGTTGCATGGGATTTGTGTTGGGAAGGAAGCCGGAGCACGAAACCGTGTGTTTTTCTGTGTAAAGTGGCTGCAGGCGGCGATGAAGGGTACCCCCTGTGTGTGCCGGAGGTCGAATCGGTTCTCCCTTGGTGTTCTGCAAAGCGGGAAGGAAGGGAATGCGAATGCATGTGTAATGCTGCATGGATGTGTACGTGGTGCGCAAAACGCATTGTATGGCTGCATGAATGTTGAATGGATTTTGTGTTGGGAAGGAGAGGAGCACAGAAACCGTGTGGTGCTTTTTTCGGGTAAAAGTGGTGCAGGCGGCGATGTGAAGGTACCCTGTTGTGCGGAGGGCGAATCGGTTCTTTCCCCATGGTTGTTCGCAAACGTGTGGGTTGCCACGTGTGCGTATTCTATGAGATTGTTGAATATCTGGTTTTTAGACTTGCAGTGTGATGCTGCATGATTGTTGTAGCGTTTTTTTTGCCATGGTGCGTTAGAGAGAGATTGGGTTCCTCGAGTTAGCACGTTGATGCTGCACAAACGCCATGTAATGAGGTACAAAGTAGTTACTGGAAGTGCTTTTGTGCAAGCTCTGTAGTACAAGGTAGTCAGGGACATTCTTTGCGAGTTTGAGGTTTGTAGTACAACAATTAGTACTGGGACAGTTGTGTGCAGGCTTTGTAGTACACAGTAGTACTGGGACATGTTTTGTGCAAGCTTTGTAGTACAAGGTAGTACTGGGAAGTCCTTTTTGCGAGCTTTGTAGTACAAAGTAGTACTGGGAAGTACTTTGTGCAAGCTTTGTAGTACAAAGTAGTACTGGGACGTGCTTTGTGCAAGCTTTGTAGTACAAAGTAGTACTGGGACGTGCTTTGTGCAAGGCTAAATACAAAGTAGTACTGCAAAGTGCTTTGTGCAAGCTTTGTAGTACAAAGTAGTACTGGGAAATGCTTTGTGCAAGCTTTGTAGTACAATGTAGTACTGGGACGTGCTTTGTGCAAGCTCTGTAGTACAATGTAGTACTGGGACGTGCTTCTTGCAAGCTTTGTAGTACAAAGTAGTACTGGGAAATACTTTGTGCAAGCTTTGGGTTCAAGGTGACTTTTCCTCTTCTGTGTTGACGCTGTGCTATTGTGTTTTGCAACTCAGTCTGTGCAGATCGCAGTGGAATGGCTGCGTCAAGGTTCCTCGCTGCTGCAGCTGCGTGCGTAATACTAGTGTCTTTTTGCAGCTGAGATTCGTGAATCGTAGTGTAGTGGATGCATGAAGGTTGTGACTGGTGCTTTGGCAGCAGATTTTTCTCGATTTTGGCGCTGCTGATTTTCTCTTTAGCATTCCTTTGAAAAAGTGCTTCAAAATCGTCGTTTTTCCCCTTTGGCGGCGAGATCCGGTTTTGGAGCTGCAATTTGTGTAGCTGTTATGCATAATTCTGAATCTGTTTTGCAACCTATGATTCTGTAGAAATGAATGGTAAGACGATCGAAGAAGATGTGAGAGAGTTACGGATAGTTGCGCCCAAGTTGGAGTTCCCTGGTAATAAGACGAACGCAACTTGAACGAGCCAAACGGATCGAGCGAAGGGAAAGGCAGTTGAACAAGTTTGCACTTGTGTCACTTCAGCCGGGCTGAGACAAAATTGAACGAGTGGAGCTGAGGTGAGATGAGTCAAGACGAGCTGAAAAGAGTTGAGAAGAGGGAAGAGAGATGAAAAGAGAGTTGAGGAGATTCAAGATGAGGTGCGCAGAGATGAGGGTCGCTGAGAAGAGGTGCCAAGAAGTGAGAAGTCGTGAGAAGAGTTGAGAAGCTGTGAAGTTTCGCTGCATCTCCTATAGGCAAGCCTCGTCTTTGGATCCTATAGTGTAACAGTCCTGGAAACTTCCGCCGCCCGCCTCGTGCGGGTTTTACTTGTATATAACTGTATATACATATAGACATAGAAGGACATATAGATAGATCAATAGCATCGCTAGATAATAGCAGATAATAAATAGAAAATCGATAGATGGACAGAGAGATGGACAGGGCAGATAGGCAGACATACAGACACATATTTCCACACTTCAGGTGCTGCAGTTTATTCCTAGATATGGTTGTAGAAAGAAAGGTTCAATGGCCGCTCTGATGGAGCTTTTGCAACCATTCAAATACGCTTATCCGTTGGGGGGAAAAAAGCAGAATGAATACTTGGAGGTGTTACAAGCCAAAAGAGCTGCACATGTTGCCCATATATTTGACACACCATTGTTGGTTTCAATCACTTTTATTTTCTGCCATCTTTCCAAGTTGCCTTTTTTTGGTCATCCACCAACTAGAATCTAGGACCGTATTTTTTCTCAGCGGAGTATCACCAGACTTTGGGCTGAGCACCCATGTTTACCAATATGTGCTGTTTGAAAAAGAGGGCAGCCCAAAATCTAATGTTTTATCATTATTGTCATTAGTCCATCATCATTTCCATTTTCCGTTGATGGCATGTTATTTTAGGGCATGCTGCATACCCCATTCCGTGACAGACCTGTATTTTGAAATGTAATGGATTGCCGGCTGCTTTGCTACTTTCATGGCCCTTTTTTGGTTATCTTAGGTGTCCTGAGTGGTGTGATCAGAGACTTCTCCATTGCGATGGGCCGCTGCTGACCGACACTCATGAGCTGTTGGGGCTTGAAAAATATCAGACCTACAAGGGAAAAATTGTGGCGATTTTTCGGCAGCCGGAGCAACGCATCTTGAGACGCAACAAGAGTACATTTGTTGTTGTGACCGTGCAAGTCCCAGGGAATTACTTTTTGCCCAAAAACCCAAGAGCTATTCGCGACGTACCCTTTGCAAAACAACCGTATGTTTTTTCTTCACACCTTTGTGTGTGGGGTTCTTGTTTTTCTGTTGTCACGCACCACTCTTTCACATACAACACTGTCACACACACAAGTCTTTCCCACACACAACTCTTTCACACAACATTGTCACATACAACATTGTCACACACCTCTCTTTCACACACAACATTGTACAACAACAGCAACAACAACGACAACGCCAACGCCAGCGACAAGGACGAGGACGAGAAAAGGACGAGGACTAAAAGGACAAGGACGAGGACAAGCACAAGGACAAGGACAAGGACAAGCACAAGCACAAGGACAAGGACAAGGACAACCACAACAACAACACCACCACCACCGCCACCGCCACCACCACCACCACCACAACCAACAACCAACAACTAACAACCAACAACCAACAACCACAACAACAACAACAACAACAACAACAACAACAACCACAACCACAACCACAACCACAACAACAACAACAACAACAACAACAAAACAACAAACAACAAACAACAAACAACAAACAACAAAGAACAAGCAACAAACAACAAAGAACAAGCAACAAACAACAAAGAACAAGCAACAAACACAAGAAACACAAGAAACACAAGAAACACAAGAAACACAAGAAACACAAGAAACACAAGAAACACAAGAAACACAAGAAACACAAGAAACGCAAGAAACACAAGAAACACAAGAAACACAAGAAACGCAAGAAGCGCAAGAAGCGCAAGAAGCGCAAGAAACACAAGAAACACAAGAAACACAAGAAACACAAGAAACACAAGAAACACAAGAAACACAAGAAACACAAGAAACACAAGAAACACAAGAAACACAAGAAACGCAAGAAACGCAAGAAACGCAAGAAACGCAAGAAACGCAAGAAACGCAAGAAACGCAAGAAACGCAAGAAACACAAGAAACACAAGAAACACAAGAAACACAAGAAACACAAGAAACACAAGAAACACAAGAAACACAAGAAACACAAGAAACACAAGAAACACAAGAAACACAAGAAGCACAAGAAGCACAAGGAGCACAAGAAACACAAGAAACGCAAGAAACGCAAGAAACGCAAGAAACGCAAGAAACACAAGAAACACAAGAAACACAAGAAACACAAGAAACACAAGAAACACAAGAAACACAAGAAACACAAGAAACACAAGAAACACAAGAAACACAAGAAACACAAGAAACACAAGAAACACAAGAAACACAAGAAACACAAGAAACACAAGAAGCACAAGAAGCACAAGAAGCACAAGAAGCACAAGAAGCACAAGAAACACAAGAAGCACAAGAAGCACAAGAAGCACAAGAAACACAAGAAACACAAGAAACACAAGAAACACAAGAAACACAAGAAACACAAGAAACACAAGAAACACAAGAAACACAAGAAACACAAGAAACACAAGAAACACAAGAAACACAAGAACAACAACAACCGCAACCAACAACGACAACAACGACAGCAACAACGACAGCAACAACGACAACAACAACAAGAACAACAACAAACAACAAACAACAAACAACAAACAACAAACAACAAACAACAAACAACAAACAACAAACAACAAACAAAGACAACAAACGAAAACAACAAACGAAAACAACAAACGAAAACAACAAACGAAAACAACAAACGAAAACAACAAACGAAAACAACAAACGAAAACAACAAACGAAAACAACAAACGAAAACAACAAACGAAAACAACAAACGAAAACAACAAACGAAAACAACAAACGAACACAACAAACGAACACAACAAACGAAAACAACAAACGAAAACAACAAACGAAAACAACAAACGAAAACAACAAACGAAAACAACAAACGAAAACAACAAACGAAAACAACAAACGAAAACAACAAACGAAAACAACAAACGAACACAACAAACGAACACAACAAACGAACACAACAAACGAACACAACAAACGAACACAACAAACGAACACAACAAACGAAAACAACAAACGAAAACAACAAACGAAAACAACAAACGAAAACAACAAACGAAAACAACAAACGAAAACAACAAACGAAAACAACAAACGAAAACACCAACAAACAAACAAACAAACCAACAAACCAACAAACCAACCAACCAACCAACCAACCAACCAACAAAGAAACAAAGAAACAAAGAAACAAAGAAACAAAGAAACTAAGAAACACAGAAACAAAGAAACAAAGAAACAAAGAAACACAGAAACAAAGAAACAAAGAAACAAAGAAACAAAGAAACAAAGAAACAAAGAAACAAAGAAACAAAGAAACAAAGAAAAACACAGAGAAAATCGACAGAAAAAAAAGAAACAAGAAAACAAATGGGGGGAAAGAAGGAGAAGAAACGAAGAGAAAACAAGAAAAAAAAGAGAAAGAAACAAAAAGAAGAAACAAAAGAAAGAAGAAACAAAGAAAACAAAGAAACAAAGAAAGAAACAAAGAATCAAAGAAAGAAGAAAACACAAAGAAACAAAGAAACAAAGAAACAAAGAAACAAAGAAACTAAGAAACACAGAAACAAAGAAACAAAGAAACAAAGAAACACAGAAACAAAGAAACAAAGAAACAAAGAAACAAAGAAACAAAGAAACAAAGAAACAAAGAAACAAAGAAACAAAGAAACAAAGAAACAAAGAAACAAAGAAACAAAGAAGCAAAGAAACAAAGAAACACCGAAACACCGAAACAAAGAAACAAAGAAACAAACAACCAAACAACCAAACAACCAAACAACCAAACAACCAAAACCAAACAACCAAACAACCAAACAACCAAACAACCAAACAACCAAACAACCAAACAACCAAACAACCAAACAACCAAACAAAAAACAAACAAACAAACAAACAAACAAACAACAAAACAACAAAACAACAACACAACAACAACAACAACAACAAACCACAACCACAACCACAACCACACCACCAACTCTTTCACACACACACACAACTGTCACACACACACACACAACTCTTTCTCACACACACACACTTGCTCAGAACTGTCATCTCGAATTTTGTTGTGGAATGCATCTAACGTGCAAAAACAATCCCTTTAAACCTGACAGGATTGAGTCCCTGAAAGGACCCGAGAAACAATGAGAAGTTCTCATCGCCATAGCCAGTGTTGTTGCCATCGCCAATGAGGCGAGAAAGTAAAATTGTTGAGAGAATCAGATTGCGAAAACCGTTCAGAAATTGAAAGTGGCATCGGAAATTGCAGAAAATCAAAACTGACGTTGTTCCGGTTTTGGGCTTAGCCGGTTGCCATTCACATGCACTGATTGCAAAATAAAATAAAAGAAGCAGTCCCTGAACAACAGGTAATCACAACCTTGCAGGTACACACGGGTGATCAATCCATGCTTCCTGGGATGCTTGCAAAGAGCTTCAGTGTGCAGAGCTTTGCAAGTCCCCTCTGCCCCCCTGCAATACGAAAAGGGATCTCCTATAAAATGACGTGAGTGAAAAACCTACTAACACAACAAGTCAGTTAGAAGTTTTACATCTATTCAGATGGTTCACACACAGACTCAGACGCCCAAAAAAGAAGCATGACCAGTCAGATAGGAAGTTGCTGGACAACTGGTCGCGGATCAAAAGATCAAAATGCCAGAAACAGATCTGAACGCACAATGCTTTACACAGAAATGCGTCTGTGGTTTTTACAGGCGTTGCATGACATCATCACAGTCCAGCTCATCAGGGATCTCGGCTTCAGCATTCTCGAGAGGTTGAGCCATGATGTTAGCAGTAATCGCCAGGTGGCAGCTCAATTGAGAAAGTTGTTCTCTGGTGCAAAGACGTAGGTTGCTCTCCCTGGGATCCATGGCTGGGGTCTGGAGCAGCTGGAGGATGGGGCCATTGAAGTCCGGATCGTGGACCATCACATCGTAAAGTATGTGGGCCAACTGGCTGATCTGCTGAGGCACCGATGGGGTTTGATTTTCAGTGACCGGATGGATTCCATCAGTATCATCCTGAGCCGTTTGTTCATCAGCTGGGTCAAGGTCATCGGCCTGGTTCTGATGCGGCTTAGTCTGGTACTCCTTGTATGGGACCTCCTTAACGTTGAAAAAACGGCGCCAGTAATTGGCAATTCTGGAGGCTTCCCTCCATCCGTTGATGGGGTAGCGCCATTTGTGTTTGGTATGACCAACAATGCCATAGAAGAAGTGTTCCGGATGTTTGAGACGTTCTCGTCCTTGCCAGTCGACTTCTGAGATCCGAAGTTCCGTTTTTTGATCTGGGCCCTCACCCGTTGTGAACACTTCGAATTGCTGGGTATGTACCACCCGTCGGCGGGTCTCTGGATCTGACCCGGAGGGCTGTAGAGAGGTTGAGTTCCAGGATTCGTCCATCATAGGCATTGGAGTAGGCTCGACTGAGACGGAGTAACCTTGCCCAGGATTGGTGGGCCCAAATGGTTCCATGGGAAGGCCTGGAAGGGAAGGAGCAGCACCGGATGGTGATGATGCAGCCAAAGAAGGTAGTTGGCCTGACGTTGCTCCCGAGGTCGACCAGTGAGCCATGCGATGGAAACGAGGTGAAGCCAGGTTGGCCATAGATGTGTCGCGTTTCGTCATATTGAGAGCTCAAAATTACAGAGGCCAAGGAGGATTAAATGTCAATGACAAGAAAATAGTGGAAACCAGAATGCACAAAAAAGAAGTCACAGGTGAAACATGGTCCCAGTGCAGCAGCAGCACGAAAGGTCTGTTTTGAGTCCGGAAGCAGTCACGGAAGGTAATTGGGCGGCAAGGCCTTGTGGCAGGACATGCGCATGATGTACGGCTGGGATGGGCTATTGAACGGTACTGGAGAGCCGAAGATCCCAACTTCTTGTGCCTGGGCCCTGGGCCCAGCTTGGGTGGTGTTCCAGGAAAAAAACGACTGATGGTATGAGGGTTTTGTAGAGCGAAGATATCGCCGGTGGCATCACTCCATCAAAGATCCATGTCATCAGCGTCAATGTTGACGCCCCAGGTACTAAAGATGTATTGACTGATGCCTGACAATAATTCGCCAACCCATGTCGTTTGGAGTTGGCTGGGATTGAGGAGGCGAGAGTAGGTGAACATGGCCATTTCTTCAGGATCCCGAAGGTCAGGTAGAGTGAGGCAGCTGGTGACAGTCATAGCATCCGAAAATTGTTCTTCCATTAGATGACGAACCTGAGTGATGTCAACCAGAATAAGTACTCTGCGAATTCGACGAAGGGCCGGTGTGTAGTTCCAAGTCAAAGTACGGTCATGATCATGGGGACGATCAGGTTCAGGGTGACCCCACATAGGACCATTTTCGTGAGTGTTACGGGAACGGGAGCGGGGACGGGACATGGTAGCGGACGGCTACTGCAAATCGAGCCTTTGAAAGAATGAGAAAGAGGAAACCAATCACTAGCAATGGTGCACGAATGAAAAGCAGCACTGAGACATTAATCAAGAAAAGAATCTGTGCAGGGAAAACCACGTTAATAAGGGCAAGCTTTTTGCCCCAGCGATGAAAATTAAATCAAGTCAAAACGACCTATTGACATTTTAGTCCTCCGCCTCAGGTTCAGTGCGGGAATTCAACTCCGGCCGGGTTTGTTTCAACCAGAGCCACCGTGCGCGGCATGATTCCGGAGTTCGTTTGAGACTTTGCCCGATCGTTTTCCATGCCGGGCGGGCTCTGGCATCGCTTTTGTAGCTGATCAATTCGTGGTCTTCACTGCCGGTCCAAGGACGGAGTCCTGGATTAATGGTAGATGGTGGTGGAAGAATAGGATCCGTAGTGGAGTCCCGGGCCGGCTCTTCATCGTGAGGTCCGGAGATGGTGAGGGGCGTGGACGGCTCGGAGCCGACGCTGTAGAATTGGTCATCTCAAGAGGTGGCGGTCTTGGTCTGGGGTTGGATGGACGACTGCGATGTCCGGAGTCAGATTCATCCGTTGTTGGAGCATCAGTTGGATGACCACCCCCTGGCGTGAGGCGCGGAGCGGTAATTGTTGCAGTGTGAGCTTCGGATACAGTGACATGAGCCCGTTGTTTTTTCTTGGGTCGAGGTTTGGGATTGGGTGGAGGATTTTCCAGTCCCGGTTCAGTGGGCTCACTCATTGCCGTCGAGAGAAGTGGTAGGTTTGCCGGGTTGAAGGATTCTCCCCGTCTGGATCTTGGCCTGGCAGTATTCGAAGGGTGACTACTTTCGGATGGCCGGATCGACAGTGGACAATTGGGCTCCGGATTCACAATCATATGGGTTGGAATGCCCCCATGTGACGCAAGAGTTGGATGTGCCGGTGATGACGGGAGAGGCACAAAGGTATGGAGATGGCGGCCAGGATGAATGGGATGTGGACTTGGGAGGGGATATGATTGCATTCTGCGATGTGTTCAAAGAATGGCAGAAATCCAGCAACGGTGTTCAGATGCATGATGGCTCTGGCCAAATGGTGGTGGATTTCACCACAATTGGACGACCAAGTGGAGTCCATGGTGCACGGTGGAGCGAGAAAATAAGGGAAGCGGGTTTGAGCCAAGAACTAAGAAACAACGAGGAAAAAGAAACCACCGGAACAAAGCAGAGACCAAAAAGGAAAGGAAAAAGAAAGGAAAAAGGAACAACCCTGAAAACCCAGCCAAAAGCAGCGCGACGTGTCCTTTTTCACTGTTGCGATGGAGATCCAAAATACGGGAAGAAATGGCAGTAAGTTCTTTACCGGAGAAGCCTGCCAAAGTGTACAGGTGGATCAGTTGATCGAGTCCTTGTTGAACACGATAGTCAGGGAAGTCTCCTTAACCACGATGTGGCACCTAGAACGAAAGCCACTAAAAAGGACTTTGGGTGGGGAGGCTGAAAACGGAGAGAGGACCTGAGAGATGTTGGTTGGTCCACAGTAGATCAGCTCGAGAGGTTTTGTTTCCAACATGAAGCCAAGAAATTCTTGGTCCGGTTCAGTCTCCAGAATGATGGGTTTTCCATAGAAACCTTCATCGAGAAGGACCTCGTATGGTGAAAGATCTTGGAGACGGGCATCGCCGAAGATGAGTCGGTTGTCAACATAGCGAATGTGTTTGACGAAAAGATTGTGATTTGTCAATACCTGTTTGAAGTTGATAGACCAAATCTGTTCACTGATGGAGACCACCATCAGGCATAAGGCCGGAGAGAGTGGACTGCCCATCGGACTGCCTCTGCGTTGACGAATGCAGCGGTTGCCCAGTGCGAACGTTTGCATGTCAAGTGCAGTCTTGATGAGGGATGGGACATCTTTGGTGCCAATCTTCCGAGTGACATTGAGTCGTCGAAAGGTGCGACCCTTGATGATGTCTCCTGGGTTGTTGGACTTTCCAGGGTAGACTGAGAAGGCCTCATTTTCTCCCACATTCATGTGGGGACCCAGAAAGTCGAGGAGCATATGCCAAGCGTCAATGAAACGTGCTTGGTCGATGAAAGAAGCCCGCCAGGTCTTGGTTGATGAGAATGAGATCGCCATCAACTGGGGCTGTTTGCAAGATGGTGAGGAGAGTGTAGACATCTCCTGACGCAAAGTGGTCTGGGCATGCCACCGGAATAAGTTGGAAGATTAATCTGGCCAAAATGTTGAGCATCGGACGAATTGGTGAGTCCGCGAACGAAATGGCGGGTCGGCCACTTTGGAACGAGTTCTTCTTTTTGGCCAAGATATAACCCGCTGGGAGTTGGCGACCTTTTTCCAATGGCCGCAATGGAGGGCGGAGACCAGCGATGTCACAACTTCTTGAGGTGCTTGAGGAATGGTTTCAAAAATTGAAGCATCCATGAAGGTAGCTTCGATCGCTTGAAGTAGAGGCATGGACAGAAGATCCGCAAGGAGGAAGCTTGTTTGTTTTACAGTGGAAGACTGCCTCTTCAGGAGAGAGCCCTCCGCGATCACCGATAGATCGTCCGGGAGCAGGCCTGTGAGTAGGGAACCTGCCAGGACCCAGTGGGCATCAGAAGGGTTGATGGCCGTTTGGCAGCAGCGTTGAGCATTGGGATTGGTGGACCATTGGGAGATCGCTTGTTTGTGGTTGCACAATTGGTCAAGCACCGAAGCATGCTTAATGAACACTGTCTTGAAAGACGGTGTATGGCATGGGACTTGGTAGGACAAAACTTGGAGATGCCAGTTGCGGAGGAATTGTTAGGCGATTTTTGAAGGTTGGGACTCAACGACCATGGGGCCCTGAGTGCAGAAGCACGTGGGGCTGGCTTTCCCTGCCACCAACGGATTGACGCGTCGATTGCTTGGAGGGAAAGAGTGCGGTATGGTTCCTGGATATTGTTTGCCAGCCGACGCAATGTATAGCATTGGGTAAGACCACCCTCATTGGAGCGAAGAAATTTGGTTTGTTCGAATCTGGCTTTGGTGTTGGTTCCCAAAGAGTGGATAATGGTCCATAGTTCCAAGCGATTTTGACACCGATCGGATGCCAGAATATCCTTAAGAGTGGCAAGGCCAAACTGGGCGTTGGTGTTCATAGCAGGTTTTTTAAGGATACCTTTTCTGGGATGGAAGAGCTGGCAAATGAAAGGGTAGTTGAGCCGAGGTTGCCATTCCTGAATGAGAGCAAGTTCAAGGCACCGAGAGTCGGCTCGCTCAACGAAAAGCCGAATTGGAGCCCAAGCATACAAATTGTTGTGCTCCTTCCAGAAACGGAGGGCTAGTTCAGCTTGGACAAGCTTGTCATTGGTGAGTTGGAGAAATTTCCTGGAGCGACTGTATTCGCGATCCAGAGTATGGTGCATTGCAGACCCAATATAGAATTTGGGTTGCATGTTCATAATGTGCGTGAAGCGAATGTAGACGCACTGGGGAAGGAAAAATGCTTCTGCAAAAAGATTGTGGGCTGTTAGTGATGAGCCCCAGAGGTGATTGAGATTGGCACACCCTTCCAAAATTGCTTTCAGTTTTTGATTGGGCCGAAGGCCATGGATGACTGACAGACCATCATTCGAGTTTGGATGATGCGAAAGCCGTGAAAAAGAGAAAGTGTGGAAGCCATGGTGAAGGGTGTGAGAATATAGATGATAAGGATCATCGAGTGGAGAGCTTGCAAATGGGATTGCAGCACCTTGTGCTTGAGCATCTTGCGCAAAAGTGGAGCTAGTCAATTGGTCATGCTGATGGCAGCAGTTAGGTGCTTGATGAGGTTGGATGCATCGAAGTTCTTGTTCAGCATGCCAACAGGAATGCCCATCATCACTGCCACTCGCTGGACCGTTTCAAGAGCTTCCGCTGGTTGGCGTTCCCACCATGTTTCGGTTTTGGCGATGTTCGTCATGAGCACCGTGCGTTGAGCTTCTGAGACTGGGAGGTCCCTCAGCCACTTATTGAAAGCACGGATGGCCAGGCCAGGGGGCATATTTTCTACACGAGAATTTACAGGAAAAAAATCGAAAACAGATTGAACACCTTGATCAAGCAGCGGCCTTTACCCTTACCGTAAGAACCCCTCAGTGTGGACACTGTTTGTGGAATGAACCGTAAAAAGGCAATCTTACACATGGACGAACCATATTATGTGAAGCATACAACGCACGTCAATGCACAGTGATTCAGTTTCCATTTTTTCATATCAACCACAGAGTCTTATTTTCACCATAACCATTGACCATGAAAACCAGTGGTTCCTGGTTCCCCATGGCTTGAGGCTTCCTGTCTTCGTGGTATGATGATGTCGATCTCTTTCGCGCCGATCCCTCGACCTGGGTTTGTGGCACGAATATCACGCCGGGGTGGCTCATGGATATGGACCAGTTCAAGGCCAGGTGGGGCGGCTCGGCCACCCAGCAGCTGGTGGGCAAGTTCAACGCCACGCAGGCCCTGTGCGGTGGAGTGGGCCGTGGACTGAGGCCGTGAACATGTTGAATACCACAAGAACATGGGTAGTTTATGTTAGGTTTATGGGGAAAATGAACAAAATGATGGAACGCATGGTGATAAATGGTCCGTGTTTAAGATGCAGTCAGCAAAAATGATGATAAACTGATGAAAATCTCATGTTAATGGATGGTCGGCCCCGAGGTTCTTTTGGGATTCTAATGGATTTTAATGGAGTGTGATGGTTCTCCTCAGATTTAAATACGACCAACATGCTCGAATTTTAATGGATGGTCATTGATGGTCTGAAAATGTGTTCACCCCCACGTAGTGAACAACTCCGCATTTGCCGTCCATCACATTTCCCAATTTGAGAAGGGTAGCCAGGTTCGATACAATTGACAGGCATGTCATGTGCTGCATCCCAATGCCAATACCTTGCTTTAAAATTGACGAGACAACCTATTGGACGTTCTTCTCTTGATTTTTTTGTCGAGATACTTATTGGATCTTATTGGATTTTCTTGGCTCCTGGCCCATTCCGGCCTATAACAGCAGGCCGATGTCCCGATGGCACTGGAGCGCTTGAGGGAAGGCTTGGCCTTCGTGGGTTTGCAAGAAGAGTGGTCACTTTCCATCTGCCTGTTTCACGCGAAATTCGGAGGACCCTGTCGCAAACTCGAATTTCTGGACACCAGACCCGGAAAAAACGTTGCCAGCACATACGACACAACGATTTTGAATGGCTGGGTGGATGAAATGGATCGTCCTGTCTATGCAGAGGCCATCAACATGTTCAAAGCGGATTTGGAGAAATTTGGCGTTTCACATGAAAGCTGTACGGCTTGTTATGAGGAAGCTGGCTTGGATTTGACATCTTAGGTGCATTTATGGTCAGCTTCCAATGTTGGTCTTTTGGGGCCAGGTGTGGGCCATGCCAATGGCATGGCAGAAACATGGCATTGATATTGCAGCAAAAGTGTGAAATGCGTGACCACACGGAGGTTCTGATTGAATGTTGTAGCTATGGAGTATTTTTCCTGATGAATTCTAGCAAGCCGGCCGACATTGTCAGAAATGATTGTTGAGGACATGGTTTCCATCTGGGGAACTGTTCCAAAATTGTCTTAATTTAGTTTCATGCTATTGAAAACTGAGCAACAGGATGCGCAGAGGGTTCAAAAAAGTGTGGCCAAAAAGATGCCAACCATTCCAGAATTACAAAGTGACAGAATTGTCCTGTGCTGATCCTGCACCCCATGCAAGCCAGAGCTCCACAATAGATCAACTGAAAACAAAAGAAATGTGTCGGGCACTTGCGCCCAAAGACCTTAACTAAGCATGTATGTCACATATGTCAACGAGGGAACTGGCCGGGACAGCATTTTCCTTATTTCCTGACTTATTTCAGCCCGTGAGCTCCTGTCGCAGCAACTTATGGTCCCATTCTCAGGCTTTTCTGCTGAACTTAAAGGTCCAGATTTTGGAGCGCAAACTTTTGTGTCAGTGAAAGTCGTGCCACAGAAATTGTTTGGCTTCTTTTCTCTCTGCTCCTGTGCTGTTTGGCTTGCCCTTCAACTGCCTTTTTCATTTTCCCAAAATCCGATGGCAGACTTTGTTACTCGCCTGCCATCGGATGTCTCCGGGCAGAGCCCTGCGCAATCCGACCATTCGACTGCCTCCGTGTGGTGGATCGGAATTTCGCCCGCTGATTCCAAGGTGTCAATCTCAGCATGAGTGAAGGGTGACATATGGTGACATATTTGCCAAGAAACAGACCCGGACGAGACCAAAATCGGAGGGTGGGAAACACGAGCAGAAGAGTGGACAGTTTACATGCTGTTGCCCTTTCTTTTGAGGCAAACAAGTGTGGAAACAGATTGTTGCTGTAAGAAGTATATAGAGAAAGCAGCCCTGATGTTAGTGATTTGCGCTTTGCGCGATCCCTGCATCCCTGTGACAGGTGAGCGGCCTGATGCGCAACAGATTCCAGTGAGGAAAACGATGGAAAAGACTTGTAAACGCTTGCAGCTGCCACACTGTTGACATGCTCTAATAGTCCAGGCAATGGTGCTAGAATCGACACATGGGAAGATGTGGGAAGTATTGTTGCAGGTATTGATCTTGTTCCAGGAGAATGGCATTACATGTTATGTTTTCTAAACACTGCAGGTGGTTGTTTTGTGAATGGGTTTCTTCTCCGTAAGTATCTTCTATTCAACAGCACATGCCTGGTGCAGTGATGCACAGTCTGGGTTTGTTCACTTTGGGCCTTTCCATATCTTTTCATCTTTGCGAGATCAAGACACAAGATGTTGATCCGTGTGGTTCATCGTGGCTACAGTACTGAAGACGCATGTTTGATAGGTCCTTTGTTTGGTCATTCGCTTGCGTTTCATCTTTCTTTCAGAAGTCCATTGCTGAAGACTGCAATATGATTTTTGGCAGAGTTTGGCTCAAGTAGTAGCAACTGGTGTTTGGTTCATCAGCCTCGCGCATTTCACCCTTTGGCCCGGGTCTGTGGCTGATTGAAGTGATGGACGAGACGGAACCTAGCACACATTTCCCCGTGTTTACCTTGGAGTTATAGCGATTGAGATCTGATCAAAAAGCTCCCTATGTCCATGCGTCCCTGTAGCAGTTGTGCAATGCAAATGCAAGACATGCTTTGCACTCAAAAGCTTGACCGGTCGAGAGATGTTGTGTCGGTCGCCCGACGGATGTTTCGCTTTGCACCAGATATTTCATGATCCGAGCAAGTCACAAGACTGGGCACTATGAACCATGCAGCCTGGTGCAGCCTGGTGCACCAATGACCAGGCCAGGATTTTCTCCGGGGCTTATCAGTGGCCATTCGACCTATGGAGTGGCAGGACTGTTGGCAGCACAAAGCATAGACGCCATTGACGCCACTTCGACCCAGCCGAGAAAAACTCACTCAGAGGTCTTTCCTCCGAACTGGCATCCGGGAGGTTTCTTTTAAAAGTTTCGTATCCGAAGAAGTCAATGGTTTTGCTCTCCCGCAGTGCACGTCGCTCCTTGCAGCGCTTGAACCTTCGCAAACGGCGGTGTGTCCAAGTACATCGATTCAGGAGCCCAAACAATGGCCCAGCCGGGCCACGTTGCCGAATGTTTCGCAAGCCATGGTCATGCACTCATTATCATATGGGTCATGGAGAAACCAAGACACAATATGTCCAGGGCAACTTATGTCGCTGAGCAGTTCTTCCATTCGAACATGTCTTTGAAGAGCAATTAGTTGGCTTCAGTGTTAAGCGACATCCCAGAAAAAATCCAAAGGTTTGGTGGGCATATATCGGTGTTTGTAAACCTTTCTGTCCAAAATGATGGTGCTGTGACAGGACTGTCAATCTCTAAAGCCTTGATATACATCCCCAGACACTCTGTTTGCCTATCCGCATTCACGATGCGCAAAGCTGTTTGACATCCCCTCGATATCCAACTGCCGTGTGTTTTTTCCCATCGGACCTTCTAACAGCAGGGCCGGTTCAGCCAGGTTTCAGATAAAGCGGTCCGGCCTTTCGTGCCTTGATCGTTCAGATTTTGCCCAGACCGACCGGTGCAGACGGCCGTGTTTGAGTGACAGTGATAGTGGCTGAACAGTCAACAGCATTTCGATGTGAGCCGCGTGCAAAACTCTCGGTGGGTCTATTCTGTTTTGCTTTCACCGAATTAATGCTTGCAAACATTGAATGACCACATGCGTGCAAGCGTTTTAAAGACTTCGAGAAAGCACTTGGTTCACACCAAGCTCGCGCCAGCTCCAAATTCAGTATATAGATATGATGTTTAATAGCCTGGTCTGAAAGAGACCTCGTGCATGCAGGTATCTGATTGAGGAAACTAAGTCCACAAAAGAAACCCTAGCAAATAGTTCAGTGAAGTTTTGCAGGAACCAACCAAGTTTCTTAATTCTGGAACATGTAGCACCAAACAGTTGACCACGAGCATTTCAACATGTGTTTGGAGACCGGGTAGGCTTTCTGAAACAGAGTGTGCAACGCTGTCAGATTTCCCACTCTTTGTTGGGGCTTTGACGACAAAATCTTGGACGCCAGAAGGAGGTCCCAAA